GGGAGAGAGTTTTCCAGCCATGTACTTCCATCGATAGGATGAGAGAGAGAGAGAGAGAGAGAGAGAGAGAGAGAGAGAGAGAGAGACACTCTCTCTCACACAGACACACACACACACACACACACACACACAACCTCCTGATCACTCAGAAACAGTCTGCCACGGTCATCTTTTTTTTGAGTGTGTAGCGAATATGACGACAAAAATAATAATAATAATAAAAAACCCGAGCTGTGTATCAACAACAGCCCCGCCCCCATGTTCGTCCCTCTCCTCTGCCGCAGCGTGGCTGTGGCGGGTCGACTTGTTTTTTATAAAAGAAATAGCATGTTTTATTATATATGGAGCAAAAGGAGGCCGGGGATCCCTCCACATCTCAACCCGGAAGACTGGGCCCCTTACCCAGAGTTGGCTCTTGCTGGAACCCGGGTCCAGTATCCCTTTCTCCTATGAAGCTTCACGCTATTCCTGAACAAAGACTAAAACTGGATTAACAAAGGACACAATAGCAGCAGGTGAAATAACCTGCCTACTATTTTTCCATCCAACCCCATCTTAAGCCCTAAAACCGACCGCTGTGACTCGTCTTTCCCATTACCCCCTACACCTCCTCTTCTGTGTACGCTCTACTTAAACCCTAAACCCTATGAAACGGGCAAGTCGCTCTAGCCTAAATCCTAGCATAACCTAACTAACTGCCCCAGAGGTTGTTGTTGTTGTTGTTTTTTTTTTTTTTTTTTTTACAATGCCAATTCCTGTGCTCAATTGCAATGTCAGCTATTGGAAATTGACATCCAATATTCAGCAATATGTGGGACTCAGCTGGGCACACTTCACTTCCTTCCACCTCCGTTGGTAGCACCTCCACTCGATCCAGATCCAGTGCCACCTTCTCAGCAGATGCAATCCTCTCCCTCTAGTTGATAGACTGTAGACTGTAGTAAAACGTTCTCCAAACTGCGCGTGATGTAGCAAATTCCACATCATTCTCATCACAACAGAAAGAACCAGAACTGATAGACTGTAGTAAAACGTTCACCTAATCGGTTGTAACAAGTTTTCTCCAAACCATGCGAGATGGTCGCCCATCACACGGCTCTCAAACCCGAGTAATCTTTGTGGTGTGGCGGGCACAGTGAATTTGCTTACGCTGTGCCGCCTTAAAGAAGAGTTTGACGGTTTTGACCACTGTTGCACCCGCCTTATCTATCGGTAGCAGTATGATTGGATGGACGCTGGTTGACGAGCCCGGTAAAGAAAGCGACGTCTGTGCAGCCCATCTCTGTTCGGCCTAGTGCTTACCCGCAATTATAGCGAACACCATCTTTTTTATTATGTATGCTGTACGTTAATTGAAATAGAATAGAAATGGGGACGGCGACGGGGCCACAATTTAAATAAACAGGCCTCTGGAGGACTACAGCGATAGATAGATCACTCTGCGTCTGCTCGCTCTGGCCAGACCTGTCTTCTCCTCAGGCATAATCTAATTTATTTCTAAAGGGCACAAAGTCAGATGTCGAAGCAGCCAACAACTGCTTAAGTTGGATTGGTTTATCTCAAGTGTGCTTCATTGTCTGCAAGTGGTAATGTTGCTTTGATTCTGGATGTACTCATGTGGGTGGAGAAGGGGATGTTGTGGTGCAAATCTAAAAGAGACGCACATACACATTTTCTCTACAAAACCACACACATTCTCTCTCTTCTTTGTTTCTCTCTTCCTCTTCCCCTCTTCCACACAAAGACACACACAAAACACATAGACACCCATGTATAGTTCCTTCCTTCTCTGCCTCAGCACATTCTCTCTCTTCTTTGTTTCTCTCTTCCTCTTCCCCTCTCTTCACACAAAGACACACACAAAATACACAGACACCCATGTATAGTTCCGTCCTTCTCTGTCTCGGTGATGCTGATGATGATCATCATCCATGTTCATTGTCCTCAATCAAACGCAAGTCCGCCTCGTCTTCCACCTACGCGATCTCTAAGTTGAATGTGGCTTTCTGTCCTCTGCATCTCTGGAGGGTTTTTCTTTCGTCTGTTTTTTTTTTTTTTTTAATGCATGAAATCAGTCATTGGAATTCCAAAATGGAATCAAAGTCGTCATTACTGGCCTATTTGATCGCTAGGAAAAAAATATGCGCTGGGAAAAAGATATGTGCCCCACTGCCCCCTTTTGTGACCTTGCCTGTTAGGGCAATCAATTTGATGTCTTTTGTGTCTGCTTGTGTTTGTGTTCGTTTGTGTGCCTGTCTGTTGGTGTGCGTGCCCGTCCCTTTGTGTGTGCTCGTTTGTCTGCATGCCCATTTGTGTGTGTGCCCATCTGTTTGTGCCTGATGTCTTCGTTTGTGTACTTCTGTGTCCGTTTGTGGCATTTGTGCCCTTTCACTTACCGTTTGTGCGTGTTTGAATAGATTGTTAAATCAATTTGTCCTTTGCATGTCCATTTAGTGTGATGTTTCTTGCCGCTACCAAGCGCCCGCATCAGCCATGGACACCATGGAAGTCAACAAACTGGTGGACAAGTTCATGCAGTTCGCTGCCGACCGGCCTGGAACTGCAGGCAGCGAATACTCTGCCTATCAAGCAGCGTCAGAGTACTCCACCGCCTCAGAGTCTGTCTCCTATCCCACGAGCAGAGATTCCGCCTTCGAAGCTGTGGCTGTGGGACAGCGAACCAGCCGCCGATTTGACTACGATGTTAATGATGGTGATGGTCCGTTCTCGCGACGAGATGGAAGGGATGGCAGAGCTCCACGGAAGAGAAGTTCTGGAGTTTCGAAGACTTCTCGCCAATCTAGGCTCAGCGACAGAGATCAGAGGGCTGCATCGGACTGGCCAAGGGTGTCATCGGCGGTGCCTGTAGGCGTTCTCAACGCTCCAGCCCTAGCTAACTTAAGCAGAAGAAGAAGAAAACCTTTCTGGCGACCAAAGGTTGATGATGGAACTGGAAGACGAGAAGATGGCGGTGGAGGTGGTGGAGGTGGTGGAGGTGGAGTATGGGGAGGAAGCTCCTTTGCCTCAGAGTCGGATGGTGGAGATGGTTTCAGAGATGAGTATGGTGGTGTTGTGCAAGGTGGTGCAAGGAGGCTGCTCAAGGTACACATGCGTGCGATAACATGTGATGTGATCCCACATTCAGTTTTTCTTTTTGCGTATTATTATCTGAAAGACTGGCACAAAGTTTACACGCCAGATTGTTCCCACATTCAGTTTTTCTTTTTGCATATTATTAACTGAAAAACGAATGAGATCTTGGTACCTTTCCGTGTGGGCTCCTCACCACTGGCGATGCCAGACTTAAGTGGGGAGTTGTGACAGACTGTTTCCTCGCGTGAGTTTCGCAGACAGACTCATCAAGCAGGAGACTGAACCCTCCCTCTACCGTATGTGATAATCCATCTTTACCCCAGTTGCGGCGCAGCACCAGCCAGCACTGCCCCACAACTGCAACTGGCGTTAGGTGGATTATGACTTACAGTAAGCCTCCTTGGTTAGGGTGCTCTGCAGACTTTAGAGGCTAGGGGGAGGGGTCAGCCTCCTGCTTGATGAGTCAGTCAGTGAAACTTGCTGGAGGAAACATTCGGTCACAGACCGGCATTTCTTTCTTACTGCTGCCTACGGTTTGGCGCATGCACATCCAGGTGTATTCCTTTTTTTTCACAGAAAACGACAAAGACATCCAGGTGCATTCTGTATGTGCTAGTTTTGTCATTTCCAGACCTGAGCATCCTGTTTACATATTTTTCCCTTGGGCTAGTTTTGGCATTTCCAAACTTGAGCTGGCCTTTGAGTGGCCGATGTTTACGGACTTACCCCTTGTGCGAGGATCTGGGTCCTCGGCAGGCCTAAGGGCCCCCCGTTGCATCTGTGCCCGCCCTAAGTGAAGGCGGGCCTAACAAATTACGAGAGGCCCTCAGCTGTCAATTTCGTATTTGGGGTCCAGGCAGTTTCGTCGCGCCAGTTGGTTGAGGAAAACACAGGCCGAGAAGCAAAGAAATTCCACGGCCTTCCAGGCTCTTCCGAAAGCACAGGCCCTGGACGAGGTTCGCAGCCTCATACACAGACAGTTGGGAGGCCCAACCGAATGAGGCCCAGTAGCTGCACCAGAGGCGCAGCATCCTGGGGCCTACCGGAAGCTTCTGGGCCCAGGCCCAGGCCAGCCAGGCTGCGAAGGCAGGCCAGCTCTTTCCATATAGGGAAGAGCTCGCTGCCTGGCCAGGCATTCGGGCACTCGCATGCTGGCGGCAGCGCTGCTGGAGCTGTTGCTCGCGTGCTGGCTGCTAGCGCTGGAGCAAGGCGCTGCGGTCCTGTCTCTTATACACATCTAGATGTGTATAAGAGACAGGTACAGTGAGGCGCAGGGGTGGTCTTCGGGTGCACAACAAAGGAAGACGTGGGAGAGAGTCAAGGGAGAGAGAGAAGGATGATGATGATGATGATGATGATGATGATGATGTGAGGGCACATACCTGGTATTGGCGATGGTTCTGTATGGGCGACATCTTCAAGTACTTCGGGTGCTGCTGACGTCAACAGTTGCATTGTCAATTAGTAGGCTAGTAGTAGCTGTGTAGGGAGTAGGCTGGGCGCCGAGCGCCAAGTAGGAAGATAGGGACTGGATACATATGTTGGTGGTGGCGAGAGCAAGCTCTTATTGACATTGGTTTTCAGTGCTACTATTCTCCATTGGTGTCATATTGGGGCAATGCTACTTTCTGAACACTGTGATACGATCTGGCCTTCAATGTGATTGTGCAATCTGAATATTGTCATCTCGCTTCTGTTCATTTTCCTTGCACTTGCACCTTTTTTTTTTTTTTTTTGACAAAATCTGGACCGGTCACTGTCAGATACATTCAATGAAGTCCCCTAGAGTGAATATGCGCTATGCTGCAGGTGCATGGGTCCTGGGGACCATCTCACGCAAGTGTGTACATGCCATGCATCGTACTCCCACACACAATGAACAGTAGTCTCACAATAGACAAAGATAGAGAAGATGAGGACCGAGTTTCACAGCTTATATTATCAGAAATATGAATACAAAGTGTTTCAAAGTTCCCCTGAGTCCAGCGCTCATCAGCGCAACACCAATATCTTGCCAACTCATCAATATGACTTCCAGTGAATCAGTGCTACCCCTGCAGATAGTCTCCAAGTCATCAATGTGGTCACTACTCATCAGCGCCACCTCTGCAGGTCACATCCAACTCAGATAAGTATCTTCCATAGCCAAACCTTGAATGAACACTCTCAGCCTCAATCCCTTCCTCCTATGATGCATACACACTCTTTAATACTCATGAGGATCTACTCTGGTTACTACTCATAGCTACATACTAACCCTCTACTACTAATGCTAACTCGCTGGGCAGCTATGGCTGCATCATTTCCAGCGTACAGGCTTCTTCCTCCCTCCAGCGCGTCTTCTCCTCCAGCGCTGCTCCTCCTGACTCAGCGCACAAGTGCACCAGCACTTCCACGCATTGCAGCCAGTGGAGATCTGGCAAGGAATGAGGCAGGCAGCTCTTTTTATTATGCTGGCCACTCCTCGCTGGGTCTGCATTGGCTCAATTCAGCCTCTCCCTTTGTCCCAGATCCTGCATTGCATGTGTCCCAGTACAGTCCCAATGAGGTTCAACTGCTGCTGAGGCACTTCGGCCTGGATTTGGACTTGAAAGTCTGGATCTGGACTGACCCCTTGACTTAGACCAGAACTGGGACTGTGCCTACTGACTTCACTTTCGGACAGGCACAACTCTAAACGAACAGACACATTTACTACTTGAACAGGCACTTTCCATTGCACGAACAGGTACACTGCCTGCACGTACAGACACACCCTTACCCGAACAGACATGACATACACATCTCCTGGTGAACAGGTAAGTCTTTTGACGATGCCCTTTGCCTTAGATTTAGATGTGCCTGTTGATAGAGAACTTGACCTTTGATCTTTTTTCACGTTTCTGAGCCCTGGCAAGATACCTTTTCACAATGCTTTACTTTTACAAGGCCCGTGCTGTTCTGTTTTTACAAGGCCTGAGGCCTATATAGGGTAAAGGCCCTTTTACAGGCTAGTTTTGGTAGTTTTGGCATTTGCAAACCTGAGCTGGTCATTTATGTTTTGTGTTTCCTCTTTCAAAGTTGGTTTTCGGACTTTGCTTTCAAGTGAGTTCCAATTTCCTTCTGTCCCTCATTAGCATTCCTTTCCCCCCTCCCTTTCCACCCCTCCTCCCCCCACCTCCCTTCCCCATACCCTCCCCTATGCCCTCCCCCATACCCTCCCCCATACACTTTCCCCTACCCTTCCCTTCATCATCATGGTTTGAAAAAATCCTGATCCGTTTAGCAACAGAAACATGTGTGTACCATTCAGTCCAACAGGCACTGAAATTGCTTGTGTACCTTTCCCTTGGGTTACCCCTGGCTTTCCCAAAATCTGAGCGTTATGTTTATGTACTTTCATCTTGCACAAATAAGCTCAGCTTTTTTTATATGTAGGGATTGGCTTTGGCACACAAATCCGATGCACTTAGCCCTCCTAAGCTCTAAACTGTAAACCCTCCTAAACCCTTCAAAATACTCCTAAGCCCTCCTAAACTCTCCAAAACCCCCCTAAACCCATCTAAAACCTCGCTTAAACCTTTCTAAGCCCTCATATAACCTCTCCTAAACACTTCTAAACCCTCCTTAACCCTCCCAAGCCCTCCTAAGCCCTCCTAAGCCCTCCTAAGCCCTCCTAAGCCCTCCCAGGCCCTGCTAAACCCTGCTAAACCCTGCTAAACCCTCCTAAGACCCTCCTAAGACCCTCCTAAGACCCTCCTAAGCCCTCGTAAACCCTCGTAAACCCTCCTAACCACTCCTAAGCCCTCCTAAACCCTCCTGAACGGTCCTAAACGCTTCGAAGCCCTCCTAAACTCTAAACCCTCCTGAAGCCTCCCGAAGCCTCCTGAAGCCTCCTGAAGCCTCCTAAGCTCTCCTAAACCCTCCTGAGCCCTATCCCTTTTTTGTCACCCTAAAGGGGTGATAGACCTTGTATGAAGGAAGAGATGAACAGGTATGCTGTTGATGACTGCTCAAAGTGGCACAACTTGTACCATTCAGCCATTAGTTGGGTGTTTCTATCTTTCGGTAGGATATTTCTTTTTTATGTCTGTCTAGCCATTGCTTATTTAGTAGGGAAATACCTCTGAAAGTTCACGTACATGCTAAAATACCCCTACACGATGTGGGTAGACAGGAATAGCCATCTGAGTTTAAAAAGAACACCCTTTTGGGCTTAAAATTTAAATCTTTGCGATCTACAAACTTGGCAACCTCCTGACAGGGGTATACCGCAAAGATTTGCCAGCACTAAATTGGGTCGATCAGTTCGACAATGTTACCTCAAGGTGTCACCCTTTTCTCAAAAAAAAAAAAAAAAAAAAGAAGTCTTCACACGAGTATGCCATGCGATATGGACACATTTTAACTTGGTTGGTTCACAATTTCCAAATCACGTTGTGAACTATGTTACCAGAGTGGCCCGGGGCCACTTCCAGCTGCGTGCCCAGCTCAGACGGCGTGCTATTCTTTCACCTTTTACTCTGGAAGATATATATATATATATACATATGACGATATATATATACATATGACGATATATATATATTTATATATCTATATCATACTTGCAAGTGGACGCCGTCCGGGCGGTTCCGCACGTGCGGCAGACTGCTGGACCGGACCCGCGAGGCGCCCGACGACCAGTTACGCCCCACCCCCCCAAAAAAAAAAAAAAAAAACGGCCCTGTCCGGTCCGGTCCGGGTCCGTCCGGTCGGGGGGCAGGGTGCCGCACGCGGCAAAGCGGACGGGACTGAACGCTCGTCCGGTCCGTCTGCTTGCAAGTATGATATATATATATATATATATATATATATATATATATATTCTCTCTCGCTGCCTACGGTTTACCGGGATCGTCACAAACAGAACTGCCCGGTAAACCGTAGGCAGAGAGAGAGAAGAGGACAACAAACGAGGGGCTGTGGCAAACTGTTTCGTCGGAGTTTCACCGACTCATAGTTTTCCATCTGGTGTGGGTGAGTGATAGTCTACTTTGATTTTGGTTAAGGTGGATTATCACTTACAGTGTAATCAGTGAGGGGATTCTACAGACTGTTGAGGGTTCAGCCTCCTGATGAGTCGGTGAAACTCCGAC